AAAACGCTAAAGAACATGGAACGGTCATCGCGAAGCGACTTGGTCGCCCTAGTTCACACAGATGGAATAGACTCTAGCGCACGAAAAATCAGAAACTGTGGTGAATTTTTGTTTTATGTATCTAAAACAATAAAAAACGAGGAACGATCATGGAGAAGCGATAACTATTGGTCATTAGGTCGTTTCTGATGGGCCCGCAAAAGCGATTCGGAGCCGGTCGCCCAAGTTCAGAAAGGCGTGGACTATATGGCCCTAAAACGCCAAAAACGAGGAACGGTCAAGGTGGAGCGATGTGTATTGTTCATTATGTCATTTCTGATAAGCCCAAAAAATTTTAGGTAATTCGGAGTCGGTCGCCTAAGTTCATGCGTATATCATGGATGATAACACACAAAAATCGGAAATCATTCTGAAACTCTGTTTATGACTCTAAAACACCAAAAAATGACGAACGGCCATGTTGAAGCAATGAGTATTGTTCATTAGGTCATTTCTGATGGGCCCGCAAAACTTTAGGCAATTCGGAGCTGATCGCCCGAGTTCATGCAGATGGCGTGAACTATAGCACACGAAAAATCGGAAATCATGCTGAATTCTTGTTTTTTATGACCCTAAAACAACAAAAAATGAGGAACGGTCATGGTGAAGTGATGGCTATTGTTCATTAGGTCTTTTTGAGGTGTAGACTATAGCACACGAAAAATCAGAAAATCAACTTAAATTCCTGTTTTATGGCCCTAAAACGCCAAAAATCGAGGAACGGCCATGGCGAACCGACAACTATTGTTCATTAGGTGTTTGTAATGGTCCCGCAAAATTTTAAACAATTCCGGAGCTGGTCGCTTGAGTTCATGCAGATGGCGTGGATTATATCACACGAAAAATCGAAAATCGTCATGAATTCCTATTTTATAGCCTTAAAACACCAAAAAATAGGGAACGGTCATGGCGAAATAATAATTATTGTTCATTAGGTAGTTTCTGATCAGCGCATAAAGTTTTAGGCAATTCGGAGCCGGTGCCTAAGTTCATGCAGATGGCGTGGACTATATCACACAAAAAATCAAAAATCATCTTAAATTCCTATTTTATAGCCTTAAAACACCAAAAAAAAAAATGAGGAACGGTCATGGTGAAGCAATAATTATTGTTCATTAGGTCTTCTTTTATATGCCCGCAAATTTTTAGGCGATTCCGAGTTGGTCGCCCGAGTTGATACAAATAGCGTGGACTATAGCACACAAAAAATCAAAAATCTTCTTGAGTTTCTGTTTCATGGCCCTAAATCGTCAAAAGTCGAGGACGGTCATGGCGAAGCAATGACTATTGTTCATTAGGTTATTTCTTATGGGCCCTCAAAATTTTAGGCGATTTGGGACCGATCACCGGAGTTAATGCAGATGGCGTGGACTATAGCACATGAAAATTCGAAAATTGCCTTGAATTCCTATTTTACGACCCTAAAATGCTAAAAACAAGGAACGGTCACGGCGAAATGATGAATATTGTTCATTAGGTTGTTTCTGATGGGCCCGCAAAATTTAGGCGATTCGGAGTTTATTGCTCGAGTTTATCCAGATGGCGCGGACTATAGCACACGAAAAATCAGAAATCGTCCTAAATTCCTGTTTTATGGCCCTAAAACGCCTAAAAACGAGAAACGGTCATGGCAAAGCGATGAATATTGTTCACTATATCTTTTTTGATGGGTCTGTAAAATTTAGGCGATTCGGAGTCGTTCGCCCAAATAATGCAGATGACGTGAACTATAGCACACAAAAAATTGAAAATCATCCTAAATTTCTATTTTATACCCCTAAAACGCCAAAAAACAAGGAATGATCATGGCGAAGCGATGACTATTATTCATTATGTCATTTTTGATGCGTCTGTAAAATTTAGGCGATTTTGAGTCGTTCGCCCAAATTCATACAGATGGCATGGACTAGCACACGAAAAATGGGAAGTCATCTTGAATCCTTGTTTTATGATCCTAAAATGCCATAAAACGAGGAACGATCATGAATAAGCGATTACTATTGTTCATTAGGTCGTTTCTGCTGGGCCCGCAAAATTTATGGCAATTCGGAGCCAGTCACCCAAGTTCATGACGAAGTGATGAGTAGGGGTGTTCATGGTTCGGTTTGGATCGGTTTTTCCCTAAAAAGAAACCAAACCAAATAAGTCGGTTTTTTAAATATTAGAACCAAACCAAACCAATTAAGTCGGTTTTTCTCGTTTCGGTTTATGTCGGTTTTTCGGTTTTTTCGGTTATTTGTCGGTTTTTTCTTAAATATAAGACATACACTACCAAACACATATTTCGGAGACCACATTTTCAACGTAACACTATCAAATCAATTGTCCTTTGAGAAATCTATTATTTACCAAGATATATTGATGATAATTGAATCAAATAACAATACTACAACAACAACAATAACAAATAGTGATGAATAATTTAAGGACTCAATTAAAAATATATTATTTTTAACACGAAATGGATTCTACACTTAACAAAAGAAAACTACCAATCAAACTAGAATGTAAAGGTAAAGAACTATACTAAAAGTGCAAACTATTAACATTTATCACTAAATTTTTGAAACTTTATATAAAAATATACATATATATAGGTGTAATAACAAATTTGAAATAGAGCTACTCCTATAGTCGGTGGGTTTTTTCTGATTAAAACCAAAACCAAACCAATTTTGATCGATTTTTAAAATTCAAACCCAAAACCAAACCAAACCAAAAAGTATCGATTTTTTTGGTCGGTTTGGTTTGGTTTTCGGTTTGATTCGATTTTTCGGGTTTTTATGAACACCCCTAGAGATGAGTATTGATCATTAAGGTGTTTCATATGGACGTACGAAATTTCAAGCTAATCAGAGTCCGTCAAGAAAATTCTACAAAATCGGCATGTACCGATACACACAAAAAAATGAATGTAATCACAAATTTGTGTTACATGACCATGAAACGTCATAAAATGAACCCAAAATTCAGGATGACGCAATGAGTATTGGTCATGAGGCTGTTTCCTATAGACCTACAAAAATTCAAGCTAATGAGAGGCTGTCTGAAAACTTTTACAAAATCATCATGTATTAATATACACGAAAATGTGAATATAATCACGAATTCGTGTTGCATTACCTCGAAACACAATAAAATAAACTGGAAAGTCATGTCGAAGAATTGAATATTAGTCACTTAGGTCGTTTCCTGTGGACCTACGAAATTTCATGCCAGTCTGTCAAAAAAAATCTACAAAATTAGCATTTAGTAATACACACCAAAAGTGAATATAATCACAAATGCATGTTACATGACCACTAAATACCAAAAAATAAATCTGAAAGTCATGGCGAAGCAATGTGTATTGGTCACTAAACCTTTTCCTATACATCTTCAAAATTTCAAGCCAATTAAAGCCCGCCAAAAAATTTCTAGAAATTAACATGTACTAATACACACGAAAAAAGTGGATGTAATTATAAATTCGTGTTGCATGCCAAAACACCAAAAAGAAAAACTAAAATGCCAAAAAGCAACATTAATCATGGCGAAGCAATGAGTATTGGTCACTAGGTCGTGTCATATAGACTAAAGAAATTTCAGCCAAGGAGTCCCTCAAAAAAATTCTACAAATTCAGCATGTACTAATACACAAGAAAAAATAGATATAATCACAAATTCATATTGCATGATTATGAAATGCCATAAAATGAACCGGAAAGTCATGGTGAAGCAATGAGTATGTCACTTGGTCATTTCCTTTGGACCTACAAAATTTCAGGCCAATCAGAGTCTATCAAAAAAATTCTACAAAATTAATATGTACTAACACACACGAAAAGTATATATAGTTACAAATTCATGTTGCATGACCTCGAAAAGCCATAAAATGAACCCGAAAGTAATAGCGAAGCAATGAGTTTTTGTCACTAGATAGTTTTCTATGGACCAACGAAATTCAAGCCAATCAACGTCCGTCTAAAAAATTCAACAAAATCGCGTAAAATACATGAAAATATGTATATATTCACAAATTCATATTGCATGACCATGAAGCACCACAAAATGAACCCGAAAGTCATGGCAAAGCAATGAGTATTGGTCACAAGGCCATTTCCTATACCAATCGGAGTCCGTCAAAAAAATTTCTACAAAATCAGCATGCACTAATACCCACGAAAAAGTGGATATAATCATAAATTCGTATTGCATGACCATGAATCGCCATAAAATGAACTCGAAGTCATGGTGACGCAATGAATATGTCACTAGGTCGTTTCCTAAAAACCTATGAATATATAGGCTAATCAAAGTCCGTCAAAAACTTTACACAAAATTAGCATGTACTAATATACGCGAAAAAAGTGGATATAATCACAAATTTGTTTTGCCTGACCTCGAAACGCAATAAAATGAACTTGAAAGTCATGGCGAAGCAATGAATATTGATCTAAAATACCAAGCCAATTAGAATCCGTCAAAAAAATTCTACAAAATACGCATATACCAATACACATAAAAAAGTGGATATAATCACAAATTCGTGTTGCGTGACCACGAAACGCCAAAAAATAAATCCGAAAGTCATGGCGAAGCAATGAGTATTGGTCACTAGATCGTTTCCTACGAAATTTCAAGCCAATTAGAGTCCACCAAAAACAAGTTCTAGAAGATCGACATGTACTAATACACACGAAAATGTAAATACAATCATTGATGCGTGTTGCATGACCCTGAAACATCAAAAACAGAACCAGGAACGCCAAAAAGCAACGTTAGTCATAGCGAAGCAATGAGTATTGGTCAATAGGTCGTTTCCTATCGACCTACGAAAATTCAGACCAATCGTAGTCCGTCAAAAAAATTCTACTAAATCGATATGTACTAATACATACTAAAAAGTGGATATAATCACAAATTCGTATTGCATGACCTCGAAATGCCATAATTTGAACACGAAAGTCATGGCGAAGCAATGAGTATTGGTCACTAGACAATTTACTATCAACCTATGAAAATTCAGGCCAATCATCGGCATAAAAGTTCTACAGAAGCATGTACTAATACACATGAAAAAGTGGATATAATCACAAATTCGTATTACATGACCTCGAAACACCATAAAATGAACTCAAAAGTGATGGCAAAGCAATGAGTATTGGTCGCTAGTTGTTTCCTATGGACCTACGAAAATTCAAATCAATCGGAGTACGTCAAAAAACTTCTACAAATCAGCATGTACTATACACACAAAAAAGTGGATATAATCAAGTATAAAGATAAATTGGGAGCTAGTACAAGAGTTCTAACACGTACACTCTATATATGCGCGACAATAGAGAAGTTGTGACATCCTTAGTTAATTTAATCTGCTGTCATTGTCCTTGTCCAATTACAATTTTCAACCTGAGGAAATAAGGAAAGGTAACAAAACACAAGGTTAGAGCAGATGAGTTTACCATTAAAAGAGAAAAGCAGAACTTGAGAATCTATGCGTAAAATGTTCAATCTGACTTCTTCTTGGAATGTAAACTGATTTTGAACACCAAATAGCAAAAGCCAAGGCGAAAAGCAGGATTGATAAGAGTAGAAATGAATTAGGATAAAATTGCAGACTAACCTAGGAGTTTGGCAACAGCCGCCCATTATACATCTTATCAAGTAACTTTCTTGCATCCGGACGCCTAAGAAGACCTTTATTATTTGGTAGACCAGTTCCCAAGCATACAGGACATACAAGTTTTCCTCGCCCTGCGTAGTCGATGAGATAAATGTTGCTATGTTAGTATTCAAGATAGATAACATGAATTATTTCGAAAGCAAAAATCTCAATGCGAACGATTATCAAGTAAAAGAGACTGTCCATTGTTGGGGTAATATCGAAGAACTAAATTGCAAAGGAGCCATTCTTGGGTTGTGATGCAATAAAGAAACCCTACATCTTATGCAATATTTAAATTTTGGTTTTATGCAGGTTCATTCCCTTTCAGTTCACATCCAACATCCTGTCTCGGACTATGGATGTCGTATCAAGTTTGAATTCATTCCCTGACAATTCACATCCAACATCCTGTCTCGGACTATGGATGTCGAATCAAGTTTGAACTAAATGCTGCAACCAAGCCACCGTTTTCATGTTACGAACTAACAGACTTGTTGCCTGATACCAGCTATCAGAATACACTCAGTCAAATTTTCAAGAAGAGAAATATAAGACAATATTCCATATATTTTTTATAAGACGTGCAAACTCAGAACAAGTTCCAAGAGGATATTTGAAGGGGCCTTTGGAAAGACTGCCCAAAATCATGCTGTTTGAACTTTGAACTAGATAACGACGAAGATGTTGTAACATGTGTGAAGTAGTCATCACAGATTTTATCAAAAAGCCAAGAAAAAGAAGCAGTAAAGCTGTCATCACAGACTGACTTGCACTAATATTCGGGTATATTTTGGTAAGTGAGATAAACTGGAATTTTACAGTGCAAGTCTAAAAGAGCTCCATTTACAAGAATAAAGCGTAATGAAGGTATGGGTACTCAAGCATCAGATGTTTAGAGGAACTTATTTCTCAAAAAGCCAGAAACACATTCACAGATAGAGAGAATAGCTTCAAGATATAGAGGTTAGATATAATAACATACCATAACAATTGGGGCATTCAGTGAACTCGTAAACATCTTTGGCTCGTTTTCTGTTTAGAGCTTTCCATTTTCCTGTACCACCACACATATCACCTAAATAGAAAACAGATGAACATCTTAAAGTAGAATAGCACCAAAATAATATATGTATACTCAGTGTTGTTAAGGCTCGTTTAAGGTGAGCTTAAGCCCGGAATCTCAATTAAAGCCAGACTGAGCGCCTCACATTGCTTAAGTGGCGCTTTAGTATAGGTGAAAGGTGCTAAGGCATGCACTTGAACTCTTTCTTTAAGAAGGCAATACTAGACAATAAATAAAGTTGTTAAACCGATAAATTAATTGTTAAAAAACGTTATGAATGCATTTTTGGTGATCAAGAATAAGTAATTAAAATTTAGTAAAAAGAAAACTAGCTCCGGAGACATTTAAAATTATAACTTTTTGTATATATCTGAAATTTAAAATCATTTTAAAACATAACTGACAAGATTTTACTTCATATATTTCCTTAGTATAGTCATTTCAATAGCTATATTTAATATGTGATGAAGCAGACAAGACGTAAAACAATCTAGACGTACATATTATAGCGCCACTACCCCCACAATTCCGACAGGAAGCTCTCTCATTTCCATCTAAGGCAATTGCTTTCTGTCCAGAAGCGCTTATCAGAGCTCCAGCTGAGCATAGGCAAGTAAGACACCATCTCCGTGAGATTGACGTCTGAGATCCCTGTTTTGACAAGCAACAGATCTTGAATCAACAGTATAATGTGATTGTAGCATCATTCCTAACATATTGTCACCAGTTTGAGACAAAATAGCTTGTTTGGGTGGTTGTTACCTATTGTATTGCACGTTTATTTTGATTGTTATTTAAATTTTATTGTATCGTATTGTTAAATCCGTTGTTATACAACGGCGAAAAGTATCACCTTATGTAACGATCGATTTGGTGTAGCCGCGTCGTTACCTTATTTTTTTCTCCCATCTTGCCCTTCCTTATTACTAAATTATCTTATTTTATCCTTTATCCTGCCTTTTTATATAATAATTCTACCATGTACCTTTTCTTTGTAATATTGTAAGTTTATTTTTCATATTGGTGTGTGACATCATGAAACAACGATAAACGGTACAATCTTTCAAAATGTTATTCATCAGAACATACAATATAATACTATAATACAATACGATACGATACATTATGAAACGATATGTAACAACCATCCAAACAAGTTGTTAGTGGGTCCTCTCTTATATGATACTATTACTATTTGGAGAGTCAAACAACGTCTTTTATTAACTATAATGGTCTCAAACATTTTAAATATTTCAATTAGAAGTTGTGTTCTAAAGTATATTTCTAAACTGCTTCTGAATATATAATTTCTGTTTTCAGAAAAGGGAGACATCAACGGCCCAAATCAACTCGAAGATTAGAGAGGTTGACCCAAGTACTTCAAACCACATCGTTCATCTTGGACAGGTGCAGCTGTCCAAAGTAAATAAAAGAAATAGTGGTCTAAGCTTGAGTTGTCACGAGTACATAAACACAGGCAAAGATGAGAAGTGTAACGAAATCAGGAGTATAATAAAAGAGTTCCTAAGTAATCTCAAACATGAATCCCCTCAAAAGCGGATCTAATTTGCAAATCCAAATTTTTGATGATTCAATACTTTGTCCTTTCCATTCACTCGGTTTTTCCGTGTCATTGGTTTTGTCCGGATTCTCTCCGCACCAAGAGCCAATTGCTCGACGCAGAAAATCCTTATTGAGACATATGGTTCAACAAATTAATTTCAGGAGAAGAAAGGGATTATTTAGCATATTGAACAAAATTTATGCAGCTAGAACTGGTATTTCTATACTAACCTAAAGCACTGGCAGAAGAGGTTTGGCATCTTTAAATCTGCATTCATGGGCTAGTAACAATCATAACGTGGGTGCATAGGCCTCATGACAAGACATATAGAAACCCGAAGAAACTAAAGTTGAATGAGCAATGCCACCTTACAAACCACACTCAAAAATGCCAGTTTGAATACCAGCCACCCGTTTACTCACAAGCTCTCCAATCAGTATCGCCTTGAAATTCCCTTATTATGGATCTTATAACTGACTTCTCCTACGTTGATTTCACCTTCACATATTTGTCACTAATGCGAACCAACTACAGCTGGAAGCACTTTCAATCTGGTTCACTCTGGAGCAGCTGGCAGCTCGAAACACAGATGTAAAGCAACTATGGTTGAACAAGACTAAACTGCCATTTAGCTAGAGATGTAAAGCCCAACAATATGATAATAGCCTCGATTCTTCTAAAGGTTACTCCTCATGAGGAAGAGCATATTATATTCCCAGGTTCAAGATTCTCCATTTGAAGGAAGTGAGTGGTTATAATCTCTACAGAAGAAGTTAATGTTGGTAGCAAGTTTATGATGTGATTGTTGGGCTAAAGGAAGCAGGCCTTACTCATCACGAGTTTCACGTCGACAACTTAAGCAAGACAGCCCAACACTCTGCATCGGGCATAACAATAGACAAGAGGAAAATTAAGTTTTACATCATTTATGCCACTATATTACTATCGAGAACTAGCTCCTTCCGGTTGCTAGCCTAGAGACGGAGCAAGAATTTGAAGCTTATGTATTCGGAATTCTAGTCCTTTTAAGATACATGGTTCTAAATTAATAATCTGCGTATAATTCCATAGATTTCTTAAGACAAATACATGGTTTGGATAAAAGCTACTAGGTTCAGCAACTCCTGCCACTCTGATGTTAAAGTATCAAATGTCCTTGTGAGAATCAACCCCTCCTTAAGTCCTCATTCAAATGCTTGACAAATGTTCACGAATATCAAGCTTAACCAAATTCTAAGCTAGAGCCAGCAACTTACAGGGAAATCGACGTATCCCAGATAAAATTGATTGTTAAAGTCCTCAGAATTTCAACCATAAATGATTATATAATTGAATAATACTAACATGCAATCTATTTCCCAAACATGTATAACATCCAAATTCCCATTCTCAGGTCTTCCTATTAATGGAGGAATAAGACATAAAATTTGCACCCCAAAGAAAGGCTGAATTTCCAAAAATCATCAATAATTCATTGATTTTAAAATATTAGCTCCCGATTGGAAGCTGTTGTAAATTACAAACCTTTTCAACCACAGGTTCTTGTGAATTATCAGAAGAAGCTGAAGCACAACTCTCATTCTCTGAGCTGCAGCTCACATGAAACCCAACCCTCTTCTTCAAATTGGCTGCCATTTCCAGGAAAACATTATTCTCAAGTCCCACAAATATTTTTCAGGCCAAAAATCAAAAAGGATATTCAAAAACTTTCAACAAGAAAGAACCCCAATCAGAAAGGAAAATCAAGAATGACATTAACCAGTCCAAAAAAGAAACAAATAAATATCTCCCAATTATATTTCAACTGTTTATCAACTTAAACTGCTTGGTACCTGGAATTCCACCCTAATCAAAAGGGTCTTGAAAAAAATATAAAATTTCAACCAAAATGACCTTAAACCAAGACACAACATATAGAGACTAAAACCCCACTCTGAGATTTCATTTGTATACAGAGTATGGTCATGGAAGGGGAGCCTTGAAGCGCCATGTGACCAGGAGTTCACGTGTACGATAGGCCCTTGTGCTCCGGCCCTTGCCGTACCCCGAGCATAGCAGGAGCTTAGTGCACCGGCTGCCCTTTTACAGAGTATGGTCATGAAACTACAAATTTTGAACAAAAAATGACATTTAACTAATTCACACTAAAAATCCAGTTATGTATCAACTTACAGTTATATAAAGAAGAAGATTTGGAGTTTAAATAGGAGCTGTGGAGAGCTGAGGGAGTGGGAAATGAGAGGTGGGAAGCCATCTCTCTTTGTTCTTTCTTTCTATCTCTCAACTTCTACATATACTCTTTGAGTAATTAAGATTTTTGGGATGATTTTTGAAATTTTAAAGCTAAAAAAAAATATCAAGATGGGTAAAATATTGGGTTTTGTTGGTTTTTTATGAATGAAAGAGAGGGAAACAACAACCATCTGCCTCATCTATGTTCCAACATGGATTCTTATCCTCTAATTTTTTATGAGTATTTAAGTTATTTTTAATTCCTTTTTGCCCCCTAAAGTTTAGATAGATGACTGACTCCTCCCCCAAACTCTCAAACTTTCTCAAGCTAAGTTACTAACTTTCTAAGGACATCTCCAACCTTTGATGGGAGTTTTCCCATTTTGGGAACAACTTACTCCAATCATTCCCCCATTTTTTCCCCCAAAAGAGAATATTCTTTTTTATATTCTTCTCTCTCTTCTATATTATATTATTATCTTTCATTTTAATTTTATTTTTTAATTTCTATTAAACAAACTCTATCCTTTTTTTTTATTAATTTATAATTTCCATTAAAATAATTTTATAAAATTTTAAATAATATAATTTGTAAGCAATTATTATAGATTAACTAATAATTCAAATAAAAGTGAAATCATTGCGATACAAGATTAATTAAATACATATTACATAACGATAAAATTCATTCGAAATACTACATACATATTCAACTTCAACCTCTAGTATTCTCCCATAAATGATCTATTAATGCACTACGAAGTACAAAATGAGCATCTTTGTCCTTAATTCTTCTATGTCGAGCTAAAAAATTCTTGAAATCGTTGATTTTCATCTACTGCCATTTCTACTGTTAGAGGTGGACCTTCCAAATCATCTTGAATCGGTGCATTAAGATCACGCTCATTCTCGATTATCATGTTGTGCAGTATAATACATGTAGTCATTATATCATGTAGCACTTCTTTTTGCCAAAAACGTGATGGCCCCGCAACAATTGCAAAACGTTGTTGCAAAACTCCGAATGCACGTTCAACATCTTTTCGACATGATTCTTGTTTCATCGCAAGATATTTCTTCTTTGCCGAACGTGGCTTACGAATAGTTTGCACAAGGGTTGACCATTTTAGATATATACCGTCAGCTAAATATCTCCCTACTAAGTTATTATGCTATTTACCGTAGTTTCAACATAATGGGCGGGAGGAGCAGTACCTGCAGCAAGATCGGAAAACAAATGTGATGACTTTAAAACATTATTGTCATTATTGGTGCCGGGCATACCCAAATATGCATGGCATATCCAACTGCCTTGTAACGATCCGACTGGTCGTTTTGAGTAATTGCGCCCGATTCGGTAGTTTGAGGGCTCGAGCAGCTTCACATTAGGTATATCGACTTGTGTGCATGGTTGGATTCGGTTTCCGGATGAATCAGAATTGAATTGGGAGAAGGAACCTAGTTTTAGAAGTTTAAACAGTGAAAATGTGCCCGGAATTGGACTTTTGAGTAAACGGCCCTGGAATGGGTCATGGGTGGTCCCAACAGATTCGTGTGGTGATTTTGGACTTAAGCGCGCGTCCGAATTCAGATTTGGAGGTCCGTAGGGTAAATTGAGGCATTTCGGCGAAAGTTGGAAAAGTTGAAGTTTGCAAAAAGGAGAAGTTTGACCCATAGTTGACTTTCGTGATATCGGGGTCGGAATGCGATTCCGAGAGTTGGAGCAGATTTTGGACTTGTCTGCAAATTTTGGCGTTATTCCGAGTTGAATTGATAGGTTTCGGCATGAGATTTGATATTTGAAGATTTGAAAATTCATAAGATTGATCTTTGGTTTGATTCGTTGCTATGGTGTTGTTTTATGTGATTTGAAACCTCGAGTGAGTCCGTGTTAGGTTATATGACTTGTTTGTGTGATTAGACGGGGTTTCGGGAGCCTCGGGTGTATTTCGGATGGGCTTCGGGTCATTTTTCTCCTATTTTGAATTGCTGTTTTCTGCTTCTGGTATCCTCTTTCGTGTCCGCGAAAGGCCTTTCGCGTTCGCGAAGCTTTGTTGCTAATCACCTGGAGATCCTTCTTCGCGTTCGCTTAACTCTCCTCGTGTTCGCGAAGCTCTGATTTATTCCTCATCGCGTTCGCGTCCCCCATCACGTGTTCGCGTAGCTATGCAATTTCACTCTTCGCGTTCGCGTACAATTTCACGCGTTCACGAAGAGCAATCTCTGGGCCATAATATTTTCCTTCTTCGTGTTCGCATGCGTGCTTCCGCGTTCGCGAAGAACATCTGGGCATCCTTCATTTTTGTTCTTCGCAAACGCGAGACTTCCTCCGCGTTCGCGATGCTTTAAATATCTGGGCAGAATATAAGTTTTCCAAATCGAGGGTTAGGCCATTTCTAACATTTTTGGAGTTCTAGAGCTCGGTTTTGGGCGATTCTTTGTGGGTTTTTCAAGCAAAACAATTGGGTAAGTATTTTTCAACTATAATTAAATATATTTCATGAATTTGCCTTTATTTTTATCATTTAAATTGTGTTTGGGGTTGGGGAAGGAGTTGGTTTTTGAAGAAAAGTTCTAAAAAGAAAAACCGTGATTTGAGGGACCAAATGGTATCGGAATTTGATAAAATTTGTATGGTTGAACTCATTTTGGAATGGGTGATCGGATTTTGTGAAATTTGACGGGTTCCGAGGTGCGGGCCCGGGGTTCGACTTTTTGTCGATTTTTATATTTTTGTAAAGATTGAAACTTTATGATCCGGAATAGTTTCTTATGTGTTGTATTTGTGCTTTGAAGTTAATTTGGTTAGATTTGAGCCGTCCGAAGGTCTTTTCACCCGAGAAGTGCATTTTAGAGTATCGGTTTGTCGCTTTTGAGGTAAGTATCTTGCCTAACCTTGTGTGGGGACTTCCCCTTAGGAATTGAGTCTTCTATGCTAATCGTAGTCCATGCATGCAAGGTGACGAGTGTGTGCTCGGACTTATTTGTGGAAAATTTGCCTATAGGGTTCTTAGGTCCTTATGTGGAAAGTATCCCGTTATGATTGGGTTTTCTAGTTGCTTAAATTGCCCCTATATGCTCCATATGATGTTGTTAGCTTTCCTCTAATTGTTACGTGTTACATTGACCCTAAATTGCCTTAATTGAAGTGATTGACTTCCTTATTGTTTTGATACTTCTTGGTTGTGAGTTCCTCTATGACTTCGTACAAATAGGTTACATGTCCAATTGTTGTGGTGGTCGGTGTAGTTATCACGTGCTTATTACATCTTGTTGTGTAGTTGAGGTTTCATTGTGAAGTTAATTGTTGGTACAAGTTTGGTTATAGCTGATTCCATTGCCGGGACATATTTAAATTTTTGTTGTTGGTTCCCTTGCCGTGACGTGTTTATTCTTGTTGTTGACCCCCTTGCCGGGATATTGTTGTTTTCTTTATTATTCCCTTGCGGGATATTGTTGTTTTCTTTATTATTCCCTTGCCGGGTTATTGTTGTTTCCTTATCATTCCCTTGCCGGGATTCTTTTATAACTGATGATGAAAAATTGAAATGGGAGCGGGTGGTACGCCTACCACAAGATATAATGAAATGGGAACGGGTGGTACGCCTACCACAAGATATAATGAAATAGGAACGGGTGGTACGCCTACCATAGGATATAATGAAATGGGAGCGGGTGGTACGCCTACCACAAGATATAATGAAATGGGAGCAGGTGGTACGCCTACCACAAGATATAATGAAATGGGAGCGGGTGGTACGCCTACCACAAGATATATGAAATGGGAGCGGGTGGTACGCCTACCACAAGATAAGTGAAATGGGAGCGGGTGGCACGCCTGCCACGAGATAAATAAAATGAAAGTGAAATTCTATGTTTGGTTTTCTTTTCCTTGTTAGTGATTAGATTTTGGTGTCGTGCACCTTCGGTTTGCTATGTTTAGTTGTTGTCATCAATTCAAATGTTCAAACTGTTAAATTCCTTTATTGTTGTGATCCTTTGTGTTAGAACCCACAATATTTATAATACCTCACCGTATTTATATATATATTTATTTATACGTTCCACTACTTCAAACTTCAATAATTGTTACATCCTTAATCCAATTAGTTTCTCAATTATATCCCCTTAATTTGGGGTTGTATTTTACTTATAAAGAAATTTCTATTAAGTTTTAAGTTATCATCTCCTCTGTTAAAGGTAATAATTCTTCCGATGTTGTGTTTTAAATTTAAAGATGTATTTTCTTACTCGAATGATTTCTAAAAATAACTTCATCTTTCTCGCCGATTTTCCAAACTTATTTAGGAATTCAAATTTTATTTATATTAAGTAAATAGGACTTCTTGAACATCTTAAATGCGTTTGTAAGGACATTCGGTACTGTATATCATGGGGATTTGGTTGTTAAGAGTGAGATGGAAAATATGTGGGCACGAGGTGCCATTTGTGCTGAAAGTTCGAAAGTTGAGATTATGATATGAGAAATCGAGGATTGAAACGGTCGGGATGGTGTATTAAACATGATGTGATTGATTGAGTTGACATTGTTTTCTTTAGTTGGATACATTCTTACTTGTCTCTATCTCTGTTATATCAGTGTTGAGTTGTTTGGGTTATCTGATTTACGTGATTTCCGTTCGTTGCTATCCGTGTTCTCCCTTTATTGTTTATACTGTTTGTACTTGGATTTTTCTTTCCGTAGTTGATATTACTTCGTTATTTTTATCTCGATGCTTATTATCATATCCTGTTAATTTTAATTGACCAGTAGGTGTCCTGACTGTTCCTCGTCACTACCCCACCGAGGTTAGTCTTGATACTTACTGGGCACCGCCGTGGTGTGCTCATACTACACTTATGTATATTTTTTTGTGTACAGACCCAGGTATCGATCGATAGTAGCCGTGCGGGTCGTCACAGTGGAGAATCACGATAACCTGCTGCTGCGTTCGCAGGTGTCGGAGTCACCTTCATTTGTAATTATTTTCATTTGCTCTTTTGTTTCGGGGCAGAGATGTATTATTTGTGTAATTACTCTTAGATGGGCTTGTGACTTGTACCACCGGTTTTGGAAAATTTCGGAATTATTCAGAGTTGGTTAATTTAAAGTTAGAAGGCATCAATGTTATTTCAGTTTATGTTAGGCTTATCTAGTTTAGAGACTAGGTGCCATCACGACTCTTTCGGAGGGACTTTTGGGTCGTGACATGCCTAGTGGGGTGACGAAGGCAAAAATGAAGAGAAAAATTGATGAAGATTATATGAAGATAATCCAATCAGAAAATAATCGGTTGGTTGAGGCGATGAATAATGCAACCGAGGCAAAAAAGAAGTTTTGACTATTCAAAAAGAAAAACTAAGAGTAAAAGAAATGAAAGAAGAAAATAAAGTTTTAATGATGGATGTGAATTCTATTGTCGATCCGACTCGTCGTGAATCTATGCGACAAGAACAACGAATAATGTATAAAAGAAGTCAACAATATCCACAGTCACAACCACAACAATCCTCGGCCCCATTCACTCAATACCATAATGATTTTGGTGTATATGGAAACGACAGACCTCCCTACTATGTTATTATGCTATTTACAGTAGTTTCAATTTTTATGTATTTTAATTTTATGTATTTTCACTTTTCATGTATTTTCAATTTTAATGTATTTTTAATTTTTGCTTTTCAATTTTCAATTTTAGCAACATCTAATATTTTCTATTCACACCTTTCAATTTTAGCATCATCTAATATTTTATATTTGCACCATTCATTTTTTGAGATGATTATATATTTTTTGTACAAATATAACTTATAATAAAATTAACTTACAATTTTACACAAAAATAATAAATGCACGAAAATTAATTTATCAAAATTATACGCCAAAGTTAAGAAGTAAAATTAATATTATATTACATAAACATAATTAGGTATATATAAAGAGATACATTAAAAGTAATAAAATAATAATAAAATATGCATGAATAGTAATGGGGGGATGAACAGTGTCTCCCATATTTGGAGGAACACTATTCATCCCCCCATTTTGGAGGCAAAAATGGGGGAGGGTTGGAGCTCCATTATGGCAAAAGTTGCCCCTATTATGGAGAAATAGGGGAGGGTTCGAGATGGCCTAATACTATTTACTACTCCTTCCGGTTCACAATAAGTGACCAATTTGCTTTTTTATTTTGGTCCAAAATAAGTGTCCATTTATATAATCAAGAAAAAATTCAATTTGTTTTTTCAAAATTACTCTTATGTATGTATCCCTAAAAAGTCATTTACTCCTCACATTTAAGAAGAGCAGTAAGTGCTACTATAACTATGGTGCAACATTTAATGAAGGGTAGTTTAGTCACACTAACTGTTTTTGTCTAGAATTTAGTTTTCTTTAATGGGTGTGCCCAAAGCAAATTGGTCACTTATTGTGGACGGAGGGAGTAGTACTAACTTGTTTTTGAACTTTACCATAGGATGCATTTCAATTTGTATTGCTGACTCCTATATATCCTTAATAACCATAACAAAAAAAAATGTCTCTCCCAAATATTAAATAATTGTCGTTCTTTATTGTTAATAGCTGATTGTATTCTCAGATGATTAATTTACGTATATGTTTTATACACTTGAAAGAAAAAATAAATGTTACATCTCTGTCAGAATATTCTGTCAGTTCTCTAAATATACTTTTTAATTTAGTTTAGTCTCATAACAGTGTAATTGTTCTTTAGTATTAGAAAAAATATTAATGTATTTGGTAGAAAACGTTTTAGGCATTTATAATATGTTTGGTTGGCCAATATTACCTCTTAAGTTACCTTAAAATTTTAATGATAATGATAGATGTAGACTTGTAGCACAATGATATTGTTACTTTCTTTGTTATCACTGCTATATTTCAGAGAATAAAATTATGGATTAGAAGCGATTAAGCAAATAAAAGTTGTTTACTTAAGGTTGTTTACTTCAGCATACTTTTAGTATGAGTTAATACCCTAAAACCCCGATAAACTATCATATCTTTGTTAGGTTCCTACTTAAATTATTCGGTGTCCCCAAAACCCCGCTGAACTATACTGCCCTTCATATTAAAACCTCATTGTTGCCGACCTAGCATAACGTGTGTAAATACTCGCTTGGGAGCGCGTGACAACTGAAAAAAGACATCAAAATAGCCCACCTGACAGAAAATAATGGCTAATTAGACTAACCCTCTTTCAAATTTATTTTTTTAATAAATATTCTCCTTATTTCAATTATATCCATTTTTCTTCCTCATTTTTCACCATTCTTCCTTATTTTTCACTTTTCTTCTTTATTTTTCACCTTCTTCTTTTTATAACCTTTTTGTCCATATGGGTTTCCTCTGAAAAAATTTCTCCTCTCTTGTTTCCTCTAAAATAATTTATTTTCTTTCTTGTTTTAGTCTTTTTTCATGTCTTATACATATTGGTAAAAATTGCACGGGGGGCCCTATTTGGGCGACCCTCTTTAACCTGTAGCCGCTTTGTCTTTTTGTTTGCATCCGTACCCACTTTTTAAAAAACTTCAGCTTCCCTTTATAACTGAGAAACTTCGCTCTAGAGCTGAAGTTTCCGGGTTACTAAACAAAAACTTCAGCTCTAAAGCTGAAGTTTTTATTTTATAACTAGAGCTGAAGTTTCCGGGTTACTAAACAAAAACTTCAGCTCTAGAGCTGAAGTTTTTATTTTATAACATAGAAACTTCAGCTCTAGAACTGAAGTTTTCCATTTACAACACAAAAACTTCAGCTCTAGAGCTGAAGTTTTTTAGTTACAACACAAAAACTTGAAGTTTTTATTTTATAACTGGAAAACTAGAGCTGAAGTTTTTATTTTATAACTGGAAAGAGCTGAAGTTTTTGTTTTATAACTGGAAAACTTCAGCTCTATAGCTTAAGTTTTCCAGTTATAAAATAAGAACTTCAGCTGGAAACTGCTTAAGTTTTTATTTTATAACTGGAAAACTTAAGCTGGAAACTGCTTAAGTTTTTATTTTATAACTGGAAAACTTCAGCTGGAAACTGCTTAAGTTTTTATTTTATAACTGGAAAACTTAAGCTGGAAACTGCTTAAGTTTTTATTTTATAACTGGAAAACTTAAGCTGGAAACTGCTTAAGTTTCTATTTTATAACTGGAAAACTTAAGCTCTAGAGCTTAAGTTTTTATTGTACAACTAGAAAACTTAAGCTGGAAACTGCTTAAGTTTTTATTTTATAACTGGAAAACTTAAGCTGGAAAACTGCTTAAGTTTTTCGGTTACAAAGACAAAAACTTCAGCTGAAGTTTTCCAGTACAAAAGAAAAACTTCAGCCCCGTGGGCTGAAGTTATGTGAAAAAGCGGGTACGCTTGCAATTTTTTTTGCAAAGCGGGCACAAGTTAAAATGTGGCACAAAAAACGGGTATAGATGCAAATGTCCCTACATATTGTTGAAACTTGAAAGAGTATCAATTTGAATCTTCTTATTAAACTCAACACCTTGTAGAATAAAGTTGAATCTCTTGAACCTTCTTTATGTAATCTAGAATTAGAGAATGTAATTGATGTCCAAATAATATTTTATTTGCGAAATTTTATTTTGTGTAATTTTTTTATGTAATATAAGATGACTTTTAAGAATGCAACGTTATACGTCTTTATTTATATTTTTATTGTCTACAAAGTGAATATAAATAAGGACTTATCAATTGGGAGTCTAGCATAAAGTACAATCACAATTAAACCTAAAATTAACACAATACATTAGATATTATTTTGGCCAAAACTCTTAAAATTAATTAATCATCCGAGAGTAATACATCATGAGTAAACTATATAAAACTTTGTACAAACCAGTTAATACAGTTAGACAGACATACCTTTAAAAGTCCAACATGAAATTTTAATATATAGGGAAATATTGTTCGGAAGAATTTTGGGAACCATTTGACCTTTAAAAGTCCAACATGAAATTTCAATATATAGGGAAATATTGTTCGGGAGAATTTTGGGAACTAAAAATAGTTTAAATAGACATGTTTTAGACTGAGTTAAATAGCCACATGTAATGCTACATGGCACGTTTTAAGACAATTAGGAGCACTTTACATGGCACGTTTTAAGACAATTAGGAGCACGTACTAGACGCACCACTAAAAATACAATGGGGGGAATTTTAATATGAAGGGCAATATAATTCAAGAGGTTTTGGGAACACCGAATTGTTTAAGCAGAAAACTGACTACGTGATAATTTAGGGGGATTTTAGGATACTCTTTTAGTATTTATTATCTTCTCAATCTTATAATTGTCACACAAACAAAAATAAGACATCTAGGAGATGTCAATATAACTGGAGATTTTCACATTTGGAGTTTAACCCTGCTAAATTGGATACGCACACCTCTTACAAAGGCCGATGACTACGTTATGAAAATGATCCTGCTATCAATAAGATCCTACTCATCCTCTTTGAATTGAGCTACCTTTTTTTAAACTATCAGGAAACAACTATGCCACCGAACAAGAGAGTCAATAGGTTAAAATACAATACTTTTTCCAGCAATACGAGCACACGATGAAATTTTGCTGCAAAATCTAAACGATTAGTTTTGCTGCAGACAATTTTTCTGTAACTTTGGATATCAGAGACATCATAGCAAAAAGCTGCTATACATACCAGCTAACATAAACAGCTAGGACAACTAAAATTTCCTGTGCATGACATTCAAAGGCATCTGACCTTGCCATCGATTTTACAATTGACAATGAAACAAAGAAAAAGAGGAGATACAATACATTGTCAGGTTTACAACAATTGGTCACAAATTTTTCAAGATACAGTGCGCCCATAGCATAGACAAGAAAGATAGAGGTTCTTTCCCCACTTCTCCTGCAACGAAACCGAAGTTTGCACAAGTTTAACTTTCTCATAATAAAATGAAGATGATAAAGTCTCGTAATATATTAGTCTGAGAACTGCAGCCTTTCTAATAACAGAACCTAGTCAAAGCAAAAGATTCATAGAGGCAATACGAACTGGTCGCAACTAAGACTGGGTGCTGGTGTCACACTTACATCAGGTCAGGTAGGGATAACAAAGTGACTGAGAGAACCTCTAGCTTTAGAGAACCTACTGATAGTTATGATTAACATAAGATCTCAAAAGGTCTACTATATATGATTAACTAGAATATTAAGATATACTACATATTATAACAAGGCATGGATGAAAGTTTGAGAGAATTTTACTAAATATGTTTACAAAGATTTCCCGGAAGTTCATAATAAGAATAACAAAAACCTTCATGATGGATAATATAATACTGGTAAAATCTGCTAAAATAGCATAAGCCAGCAAGTAATGCTCACTCTTTTCTTAGCCCATCAACAATTTAGGCAAAGCAGAGGAGAAAACAGTTTCACAAAAGAATTACCTTGACATGTGTGCTGGGAAACTGAGATGTTCGCAGAGTTTCCTGAGTCTCATCACCAGGTCTTCGGCGAGGCACACTCAGGATAAGGGCAGCTTGGTCTGCCGTAGCAGCTGTTGCAGTAATACGATAACCATTATCCCACCGCTTGTGAATGCCTTCACTGGGATAAAGAAAATCGAGCTCTACCACCTATTAAACATAAACAATCTAAATGTTACTAAAGCTAGCACTAATTTGGGAGATAGGGCGTCTTACCAGATGATCGAAGTTCTCTACAACAAATGGTACTATAAGAGAAACTAAGTCATGCAATGATCCATTGACATTCAAATCAAGCGAGTATGACAACAACCATTGCACTTAACAGCTTTGACCTTATTCGAGGTAACCAGGAAAAGAAAAGAAAAGGTTATGTATCTTTAAAAGTGGCTCTTTAGATTCTAGAGTCAACTCCCGAGAGTAACATGGATTAGCTGTTGTTAGGTTTATACTCTTTCAATGCCAAATCAAGGTCATCTTCAGATTAAAAATTATGTTCGCTTTGCCAGTGGTGCACCACCTGATCATTCCTCTTTTCATGTGAACAATATTTCACTTGTCAAAATAATTATTCGCAACAGAAATATACTCGAATAACTTTTAAATTTCTTCTCCTTATTATGGATAAGATAAGAAGCTGTTGCTACCAAATATTTATTTGATATAAACCAAAAAAAATTACTTCTAACCATATCTAAATGATAGTGAAACTAACCATAGTACACCCAACTTCAGATGAGGACTATCGCTCTGTGTAAACTGTGTATTTATACATGCCAAGTGCCAAGTTTAAGTTCAATTCCGGCAGCCACATTTGACAGAATATAGCAATGAATATGTATGCTGCCTAACTCTCTGTATGTCTTGAAAAAAAAACAATTAGTTTTTAGTTTTTAACAAACCAACAATTTTATTGCTATTGTGGGAAGAGCACTTGACAAACAATTAGTTTACAGGATAAAATTTAAGTTAAATTGTCATATATGTCAAAGAATGAAACATTTCTATTACTTGATCTCCATGCAAACACTTTGTTTACGATACATAACCAGGCATTAGCCTAATCCAACAAAACTGCAAGGTCCAACGTAAACGAACTATATATTTTTCGAAATATTTGGAGGAATCAGTGAGGACATTAAACAAAACTACTTCATTTCCTTCGAGAAATTACAACTTCAATGAGACTACCATTTTAGCTCCTCCAGCAATAAACTATAATTTTATTACCATCAAAAAACCTGACTGGAAGATTTGCACTTCTCCTTTCAAGTGTCTGTCTTCGTGGGAAATTTATTCAACAACTTTACAAGGCTATAATAGCACAGAAATATTGAAAAAAGATGGCATGGGATAGAAGAGATCAAGATAACATCACGAAACCATATTAGATAATTTGTTTTTTTTTGTGTGTGTGTGTGAGAGAGAGAGGGGAGGGGGGGGGGGGGGGGGTATGAACAACCTGGTCACTGAAGCCTGAATTGCGTGACATAACAACAGCCCACCTAGAGCCAGCAGTTGCCATGGAGGTCACGTGGAACCCTTCTTTCCACTTCTTGCTTATCCACTTAAAGGGAAACGACTCACTCACTTTATAAGACTGTTGAGTGAACTGTGTGCCTGCAGAAAATGTCATAATTGTGATATACAAAAGATAAAAGAAAGACCAGAACCTAGAGCTGCAACCTAAAAAGCTCAACGCTGGCATAACAGTCTGCATTTGCCTTTGCATAGGAAGAAATACTCTCCACAACAATTAGATGAAATAATGCAACTTAGTGATATAGCTTCTACATATCACCAACTAAAACCTCCAGATTCAGGCAATAAACTCGCGTATCTCAATTGAACTACTTTAGTTGGTGTAACAACCTGAGAGAGGAAGCATAAACACCCTATGATTGTTATCTTGCAATGTTTTGACTTGAATAAAAAGTTCAAACTGGCAAGAGAAAAAGGCTAAATTTCCATTGCATGTAGAGCAATGTTTTAGCATCTAAAGAAGTAATCCATCATCTAAAATCACATCAGACTGAAAGGATTATACAAACTGATAAAAAGTTAATACCTTCTTTTATATATATAAAAATAAAGTTAATACCTTCTGATTTGCCTTGTGAGAACATAAAAAGCTTTTGATAGCAGAACTACACTAGAAAACAACTGCCCCAGCAGCAAACGCTTAATTTGTTACAGATCCATGTTATAGTCTGATCGGTAAAATGGAGGATATGAAATCTAGGTCCAGCAGTAGAGTTAGTTTTTCAATGCAAGATAAAATTTCAAAGGGACCAAACAAAACGAACCAACAGAAAGCATAACCGGCACAGCAATACAAACAGCCCAATGGAAAATTATGCTGTGACCTACTGAACCATAGGCACTAAGCAATCTAAATATCTACTTAATAGAATAATGCAGAAACAAACAGACACCAAATACTAATATGATTCCAACAGGGCACAATACCATAACTCTTGTCTCAAGCACATTTCCGGCATGGTAGAAAAATTGTAAGATGAACCTAAGTTTATATCAGTTACCAAAATTACCAATTTCAAAATACAAGGCAAGAAAAGATATCTAGCTAAATTGTCTAAAGGCAGGTAAAAGATCAAAACAAGCGGAGAGAATTGACCTACAGCATGTTAAAGAAAACTCACCTTTTGACATTACTACTAAAGAGCTTCCATTGGTGGCACCTGCAAGAGAGCTAATATAATAGTTCTTCTCCCACTGCTCCATGATCCACTCCTGTAAACATGCATTAGAAAGATAAGATAATTACACATGATGTTAAATGGCTCAGCAGCACATGAAGTCTACATGAAACTCCTAGTTACCTTGTGCAAGAAGAAAGGCGACAGCTCATAAACTTGGCTGGTGAAGTTCGTTCCAGCATCCATGATAATAGCCCATAAGCTGGAACACGATGCTACACAACTTATAGACAAACCATCCACAGACCCTTTCTCCACGTGTTGTGCCAATCTTTGGTCTGCAACATTATAATGGTACCTAAAAAAGCCATGGTGTATTAAGTAAAGAAAGTGGTGAATAAAGGATGATTATTCAATCACCATTATGAATTGAATCAAAAAGGATTATGTCCTGATACCATGGAGCAAAAATGAATACAAAAAATATCATCTATCATCATGTAGTGATTATGCCATAAGAAGGCAAAGGATACTCATCCTTCTTAATAAAATATGTCAACGTGTATTGACTAAGGTAGCAAGTTTGGCGGATATTTATTTCTTCTACCACCATATCTAGCCTTCCAAGAGTTCAAAATTCATACTGGCAGAAGCTTAAATTTCCTCCTCTCCACGTAAATATCAAATTTGGTCAATACTAAATGTTTCTGTTCATTTTCCTAAGATACTAAAATGTTTCTATTCTACAGTGCAACTACATAAAATACTCACTTGACAAAAAAAACCACCTCCAACCCGCATCCCCCATTTGAGGTGAAAAAGTCGAGGATTAATGTTCACTGCCAACAAAAACTTATCAACTGCTTTACAAGAAGAGACCAATCATGTGAAATAGCTACCTCTGTTTCATAGGCTTTCTGGCATTGTAAATTGATATCCATTGTGTCGCAGGAACTCCCATGCGAACCTTCTTCTGAGGCTGCTCTTCTTCCTCATTTAAAGTCAGCCTCCCCCGCTTTTGGCCGACCTGGATAACCTGTAATAATTACATAATGAGCCAATGGACGGCCTGTAATATAATTCAAACATACTGCGGCTTACATCAAAGTTCGAGTACTTACCTTTTGGGCACCATCAGTGTTGATCGGTCTTATAGCAGGATCAGCTCCAAGCAAGCTCCCAAATAGAGAGATTAACTTTGAATATTTTGGTTCTTCATCAAATTTCAGGTTAATTACTGTATCAAGAAATTCTCTAAAAGGTGCAGGGCAGAAGCAACACAGCATCTCCGGAGATGTTGCCATCTTTTTTTTGCAGACAAGAAATGATTTGTTATCACCCTGAAACTCAAAAGATGAACTTGTAAAAAGAGATGTCCGGAAAGCTATATGACTGAAACAAACTGTCTTGCGGTATAACGACTTGACAGAAGCAGGTGAAGCAGATACCTGATAACCCTGCCATGGCAGCCTCCCTCTGTGAAGAAAAATTAGTGTGTATGCAAGTGATTCCAGATCATCTCTTCTACTGGCAGTCCTTCCCAAGTGAGCATGCGCACTTGCATACCGGACAGTCCCTCTGAAATTGATAGATAGGAGTTAATATTGGATAGATATGTAAGAAAACTAAGGCAGAGGATAGCAGAACATGAAACACCTGAATGTGTCGGGACGCTGATCATATCCGACGTGCTGCCCTTTTGAAGTGTCTCTCCACTTTGTGGCTGTACTTGGTAGATAAAGTAATCAGTAATAAGGATTATCAAATCAACAGAACAAAAACCTAAAACTAAGTTCTCTTACCCAGTCCCAAGTCAACTAGAAACAACTTCTTCTCTTGCGGCGTTGATGGCTGGCCAAGTAAAAAGTTTTCTGGCTTTACGTCTCCGTGCACGTATCTAAGGACAAGAAAAACAATCACTTTGAAGAATTCAGCGAAAACTACAGAGATCCCAAATTAAAAGTAGTTCAAGTTTTTCAGCAACAGAAAGAACCAACATGATTGCAAGGAGAGCGCATTCACAGCCTTACTTATCCCCAAAACAAAAAGGAAAGGAAAGGAAAGGAAAAGAGTGTGTGCATACCCTTTTGCGTGCAGCTTTTCCAAAATTGACAAAGACTCAACTGCAATACAGGCCACCATTTCTGCAGACATTCTGCAAAAGTAGGATTTATGAGCAGAGCTCTGAAGTTGGCATATAATCTCACAAACCAACTTAATTCTAGTTAACTTTGGAGCTCTAATAGTAAGAAGAAATGGCAGATAGGGTGTAAGATCTCTATTTTTGTAAACAATTTGTCTACCCAAAGTCTGCCGCATCAATAAAATTATACCTTATACAAAAACACATAGGAATGAAGTGAAGTGATACAGCGGATCCTTTGGGTGCACAGATGATGTTTACTCAATTGAATGACACTATGAATGCTTCATTTAATAAATTAATGAGTCTATGACATACTCCTGTCACCACCCATTGCTTATCTTCTATTTGCGCATCCTAAGAATTAAGTTAACAAAATATCAACAGAAGCAATTTTTTTATAATGTTAAAGTACCAACAGAAGCATGTTAGAGTTGCACATCTTAAAATTTATTCTCCAATACTCCATGAGAACAATTACAAAAGATTAATTGACAACAATAAGTTTGTCGAGTATCTTTTCTGTTCTTAGAAATAAACCTCGGAAAAACAGAATCTATACTGTACACCAATGTGAGCTGATCGCTATCAAGGAAAAACATCAGCGTGTGAGGATATCAAGGTCCATTTTATAAACACCAGTTTATGAGTATATCAAGGTCCTTTTTAAGTTCTATATTGGCATTATTACATAATTCATGTTAAGCAATTGGTGACTTAATGAACTATGGTATCTCTACTATCATAAAAATAATTAATTACTGAAAGAATGTGAAAACAGTACTTCCGTGAAGAGGTCTGACAATTGGAAAACAAAAAAAATTATTCAACAAGTATGATTATAATAGTGTTAGCTACTTACGATTGTCCAGAGGAATTCCATACATCCCATAAACTAGGCCCTAGCATGTCCATAACCTGCATGCATAATAATATGGTCAATTTACATCATCGTACATAGCACTCACGTAACATATAAAACCGCAATCACTTTTCCAGAAAAACATATAGACCTGCATTCACATTAAAAAAGGTCCTAATCATTAACAACAACTTTGCTAGTAACTCCTCCAGCCGAAAATGTTTCTCCTTTTTCTCTTTGGGCATGTCCCAGAAATTTTATCCCATTTCAAGAACTCAAACTTTTTTCTTCCAAAACCACCTTCAACAGCAAGAACATGGATATGACTTTTTTAAAGTCATGGACGATTCTAGCAGATATTTTTACTACACAAGGACTATTAGAAGAAAAGATAAAGAGACTATTATATTAACGGAGTAAAATTTTTAAAGGAAATTGATACTTCTACCAAATGTAAATAAAAGAGAGGACATTCTTCAAAGACAAATTCTGAGACCAATCCACTCAGTCCCAAAAAGAAAGAAAGTAACTACCAAACCAGTCTTGATTATTCAATTGAAAGAGAACTGGCTGAATATGTGAATAATAAAAAAACTAAAGACGTCCATTGAACATTAAAGCTAATTCTTAGCTAGTAAAGCGCAGAAATGAGACTGCCTTAATAACTTGAAATACATCACGCCATCTGCATATTATGCATATTTAATTCTCTATGAAGGCTGAAATTAGAATGCCAAAAGAGGTCGCAATTGTTGTCACACTCACAATGCTGATGCTTCTCCTAAAAATGAATATCCACAAAACAAATTATTTTATCCTCCATAATTACTATAAGTATAGCAAATCTGCCTCCGTAAACATACCATAACATAATAGTCTCCTGCCCTTCCTTTATAATGCACTCTGGGCACTCCATGGCTGCCACCAAGAGTACTGCTCAACAAAAAGCACATGTTTTAGTCCTGCAAATTTATTTCATCATAAGCACAAAGTAATTTCAAAAGTATCACATCCTTACTTGTAAACTTGCCACTCATACGGAGGACCATAGCTACAGCCTTTGCTATTTCTATGCTCAAACTTCAGCGCAACCTAAAGCCATAACAGAGAGCCAATGTGGATTACACAACTATCACTTGTAGGCAGATAAACTAGCCTTGTCAAAAAGGATGCCAGGAAGGAAAAAAAAAATCTAGAGGATTCATAAGCAACCACATTACCTCCATAGCCAAGGGACCGTTAGCACGCTCATTCCCGCCAGTAAGACGACGACCCAAAAACACCTGTCCAAAACCACCTTTACCTAACTTCCTTTCAACCTTATAAAGGGGTGATCCTCCTACTTGCACCTAAAGGCAGATATCATGCAGAAACCAAAAAATGAGTAGAATTCTGACATTTAATCCCAAAGATTTGAAAATTTCTTACAGCACAACCACATTGAAGCTCAATATCTAGCAGTGTAATTTGCAAGTAGTAGAAGTGCTTCACGCATGTCATGTTTCACCCAAAGAAGGCATTAGTGAGTATGAGAATCACTTGGGAATCCTAGGGAAATGCACGTCCTAGGTCTGGATCAAGCAATTTCACCTAATATAATAGGCATAACTACACAGGTACACTCGATCTAATAAGTCCCTTTTGTTAGGATTCATAAATACTAGGGCTCAGATGCTAGTGTTCTCCTTATTTACTTCACGTACTTACTGACCAAATACATACAAAACATGTATGTGAGTAGGACCAATGACATCTATGCAGTCGAGAACAATGCACTCGAGGTCTACAAAATACCAATTTTACTTTTTCCCGATAATGGTCCTAAATTAACAGAGAAATAGGTCACTTCATGCTTCAAAACACACAAAATCCCTTGAAAGACGCACAAGAAGCTGCAACATCAAAATTATTCAAACTAACAAAAAACAAAGATGATCCGACATATATAAATTAGACAGACATTTGTTGTTTAGAAGACAAATCTTGAGTATTTCAATAAAATGATGCACGAATAGAGCATAACAACAACAACCACTATACCTCATAGAGCATAACAACAACCACCACTACACCTCATAGAGCATAACAACAACAACTACATCTCAAGTAGGGGCAGTTACATGAATACTCACTAACCATGTTACTCCAATTAAACTCATCTCATGCCAATATTATGCAAGTACAAATAAAAAGTGTTAGAACTTCTCATCCCGCATAGAGCATAATGGACATAAAATGATGCCCGCATAAAGCATAAGGGTTATAAAATGATGCGTGCATAAAGCATATAAATAATTCAGATAACCAACCCCCAAGTCCCCAACCAGGAGCAGATGTAGTATTAAAGTTATGGGGTTATCTAAAACCAGTAACTTTGGCTCAGGCCTTCTATATACAACAACTAAGCCTCAATACCAAACAAGTCGGGTCGGCTATATGAAACCTCACTAGCTCAGACCTTGTATGTGTGTAAATTTAACTAAAAAGCATAACAATATATTTCAAACACAGTAAATCAAATGGAATCCATGAAGTTCAGATTTTGGATCCACCTCTGGACATTCAGAGGTAGAAATGTATGATCATCACACACCTGTTCAGGAAAAAGATTAGCGTTATCATCTTCTTGTGCAGTCGCTTTATTATTGTTATTATTATTAGCACTCAAACCGCCACTCTCATCCCCCATCTTTTCCTCCTCTTCAACTTCTTCTACCTCTACTCTCTCCTTCTCCTTCACCTCGACCGCCACAACCACCTTATTAGCTTCTGCAGCTGCTGCTTCTTTGGCCTTCGCAGCCCGAGTCTTAATATAACACCGACCACCAACAGCACCGCCGCCTCTTTTCTTTTTCGTCGCTGCTACTTGAGCTCCACCGCGCTTACGTACAACCCCACTCCGCAACTCCGGCATTCTTTTTTACCCATATAAATCGAACAACAACCCGAATCCGAATTGTACATCACTGTGTTTTCTTCATCAAAACCCTAAACGACATCATCAGTTAGGTTCAGAAATTTTTAAAAAAAAAGGAGTTTTGGTTGAATTAATTACAAAAAAATAGATAAGAAGTAAAAATTGGATCAAAAGGGGGAATTTTTTTTGGGAGATTTTTGGTGCTAGGGTTTGTTTGAAGAGAAAACGATCTGTGTACGCGTGAATGTCGATGAAAAAGTAGTTCTCTATTCTGTTTTTGGTTTTGTTGTATACATATAGTACAGGAGATAAAGCGAGAGGTGGGTATTAATTTCTTTCTTTTTTTTTCAAGTTTATTTTTATTTTTATTTTTATTTTTCTTTTTGTATATTGTGTATAAATATACAAAGTCCAAAATCCTGACCAAGTTCTGGATTGAACTTTCTAATATGAGGACTTCTCAAGCAATTTTTGCATGCTTTGGTTGCAAAGAATGTGAGTTGGCAAAAGGAAAATCACAGACAGTGGGTACAATTTGAGCCCCCAATTTTTGCTAATACTCAATTTTGGTCCTTGTGTTTTGGGGTAAGACTAATGTTTAAACCAGGCAAAAAAATAAAAAAATAATAATAAAGTAGAGGTTAACATTGATATAATTGGTTAATAACTGGGTTAAATCTATCAAATTGGTTGTACGCGGTGCGAATGTGGATTAGTTATGCATATGATTTCGGACATAAGAAGAAAAATATGATTGCATATACATCTTTTTAATGATTGAGTTTGAATATGTAAGAATACACGATTTAATGTGCGGTGGTTTGTAGATGTCTATGTTCATTCTAATTAAATACGAAGTACATAATAAATTCATGGAGATCAACTTAGACTACCTATATGATAAAACGCTCTAGTTTTACAATGAACAATACTTTCAACATTGTATTACCTAAAATAAATATTTGTGTTATAAATAGAATTGTATTTATGGTGAATGTCTATATTTAGAGAGATTCTAGGGTTCATTGCTTGGTGGCTAAGTCACTTCTCCCTATAAATAGAGGGGTCTTACCCTATTGTAAATCATCCCAAATCAATAAGAATTCTCTCCCTCTACTTTTCTCTGCACTACTCTTCTTCTTCTTTTATTATTTTATAACACGTTATCAGCACGAGACTCTAACCAATTGAGTAGAAGCTTTGGGATTGAGCATAATGATTGTCAATTATTCCATGAACTTCCTTCATGATTAAATTCTGGATTTAAGGTAAGTATTTTACCGTATTTTTCTCTTTTATTCTATACTTTGATTTTATATACAAGCAAAGACAACAAAGTTTGATTATAACTCTAATGGAGTTTGTAAGAAATTATAACCACCTGAAGTGGTAAAAGTTTTTATGTCTTGCCATGATCAAATTCACGTATGATTATGGGCACAAAAAGTGGAAACCCGTCCCATTGAATTTGCTCCATTCTCATTCCCTTAAGAGAATGTGATAGCAGTATGTGATAAGTCTGAAAGAAGACAAAATTATCACTATGAATGTATCAATGGATGTGGACGTGGCAATAGACGAAATTATAATCGTCATCATTGTGATAATGAGAATAATAAGGATTCTCAAGATAATCCCCCACTTGTGAAAATATTTGTCATCGATTTGACATGAGATTTTATAAAGCACATATAGATGATTATGGTCTATTCATGATGTGAATGTGACAACATCTGATTTAAGAATACATATTCATTTTTGGAAGAATATGAGCGTGCTAGTGGTATATATCACACTCACCTCTAGAAGGAGGTTTGAGATGATATAAGAAAATAATATCATTATTATGGCATGAATGGTCATTGGTCACGTACCTATTGTACGCCAAAATATTTTGGCATTGTGATTATTAAAAGACAACGGTAATGCAAGAAACAGATCTTGCATATAATTTTGACCATAACCACAATGGTATAACTTTCTCTTTAAAGGAGATATTCACCATATGGGTGTTGATGAATATGTGGTACTACAAAATTAATTGAGAACTCTGCAAGAGCCAATTATACTATTTTGGAGAAACACAATTAATTACCAATAAGGGTATTGTGTTGTAGTAAGTCTCAGAGAAACTTGTTCAGTTTCCAAAGTATATGCGAAAGCGGTTGATTATATCGAGACTATAAATAAAGGAAAGATTTAATATCTTCTATTACTACATCTTGTAGCGGGGTAATATGTATCTGAAAAGCTACCCGTTTTATTCTCCAGTTTGTACTACACAAATAAAAGAATACCACAATAAAGTGGATATTTATTGATATAAAAACCCATATCATAATAAACTTGGAGTTTATTGATAATTGCACACGTCATGGCGTAAATCTGAAGTTTATCAATATTGATAATTTATTCAGTTGGCATAATTGGGTTAGCCATATCAATTTAAGTATGATGTGCAAATATGATAGAGAATTCACATGGGTAAATGTTAAAGAACTAGAATGTTCTTTACGAATTCTCTTATGTTGCTTGTTCTCATTATTTAATGGACCAACTAAAATTGGGATTGAATCCCATAAATACTGGAAATATCAAAGGTGAATACGGGCCCATTCACCTGCCATGTATACCACATAAGATGCATCTATGAGATGGTTACATGTGCGATTATTATTAACCCGCAACATGGTGTTGCGAGGTAACTTGCTCAATAATTTGATTTAGAGCATAATTTCCAGCTTTTTTATTCAAGATAGTTCATCTTGATAAGTTGGTTTACATCACAGTTGGTTTAGCAAAATGAATTATTGAGTGCCTCCACTTAATAGCTAAACTATTGCTTATGAGAACAAAGTTATCTATATCAGTTTGATATACGTTATATACGAAAGTATATTATTTTCTCCCCTCACAAGTGGTTCAGGGTCAGGAACCAAAGAATTCCATCTTATTATTATTGATGTGCGGTGTATATTTTGATTAACACCATAATGCACAAAGATGGGTTCCCAAAATTGAGGAAGAAAGTTAGTTTTTCTAACATGAGAGGGAGACATGATAAACAGTTGAGAAAAGGTTACGTGGAATGAATTATCAATTATACATCTAGATCCTCGAATAAGATAATATGAACTTGAAGTTCATAAAAGGATAATTCAGTTGCAATATATTGCAAAGCATGCCAGACGCATTTGCTGACCCAAAGAAAGTAACTATATTCTCATTGCAAATGCTCCTATTAAGTCCTAGAAGGACAGAGTCTATGGTACGCTTGAAGCGTATAGACAAATCGGTTTCGAATAAACTTTTTGATAGAGAAGATGAGCAAATGATCTAAATGATCAAAATAAAGGAGGCAATTGATCTAGAAGATCACATGACATAACACTTCATAAAATCTCATGAGAGATTCAGGTACCTGAATATATGAATGAAGAGATCTCTATGTTATGTCTTTATGAAAAATAAGGAGGTTGGAACCGATATAAAATGTTTGTCGACGACATCTATAATAGCGCTAAAATATATATGAGGATGAGGATCTTAAGTCTAGAGAAACAATTCAAATAGAATTGGTTTCATATGAAAGACATGTAGTTTTGGACATGTAGTTCAAACACTTGAAAGTATAAAGTCGATGGTATGTGCAATCAGTTTTTGGTATCTTATATGTCTAGCATGACATGAAAACTCGATATGCATCAAAAGTCTATTATATGACTTATACGACTTAACTTATATGACAATCCATGAAGGATTTAAGTTGCTTGAAGCATATACAATTCTTGATCTTGAAGTACCACTTCCTCAGTGCAATTTGTGCACAAATGTGTCTTGCTATAACTATATGCATGATAATATGATAGCAAGAGTTTTCACCTCTATATGAAGATATTGAACTGACGATTCCAACAAGATCATATGAAGACAATTCATCTCTATCAAGAATGATGATTTCAAGGTGCAATATATTCATTCAAGTTTTGGCTGATTTTTATTCATCAAATCTCTACCAAAGATCTTTTGAAGATGGTGCACAAGATTGGAATTCAAATGCTTAAGGATGTGAATTGATGCTCTCATCAGGGGGAGTTAATACGCGTTGTATTCTTTTTCCCTTACAAGGTTTTGTCCCACTGGGTTTTCCTTGCAAGGTTTTTAACGAGGCAACCAAAAGGCGTATTGTTAGATATGTGTACTCTTTTTCCTTCTCTAGAATTTTTTCCCACTAGGTTTTATTTTAGTTAAGGTTTTAACGAGGCACATTATCTGTTGAATAGACATTCAAGGGGGAGTGTTATAAATAGAATTGTATTTATGGTGAATGTCTATATTTAGAGAGATTATAGGGTTCATTACTTGGTGGCTAAGTCACTCTCTCCCTATAAATAGAGGGGTCTTACCCTATTGTAAATCATCCCAAATCAATAAGAATTCTCTCCCTCTACTTTTCTCTGCACTACTCTTCTTCTTCTTTTATTATTTTATAACAATTTGAGATTTTTAGTGCATATATTATCTCTATTATTAGAGAGAAAAAAGCATGCAACGTAACTAATATACGTGTCATACAGACACTTTTGCTTACAAATATATGTTAAAACGTATGTTTTTTTCCCTCAAAATTTGAGCTATGAAGCATTGAATAACATAATCACCATTACCATCTTCCAATCGTCATCACAAATGAGTCGTTTCTCATAAAATACCTATGTTGTTGTGCCATCTTTCGCCAACCGTATGAAAAATTTACTTTCAATGCCTTCACCTCCTCAACACTAATCATGACACCATCAACGTCTACGACGCCTCACTCACTAACCACTAATTTCAACTCTCTTCACCTTCATCGATGACTGTCATATAATAATTTCACTTAACAAAATTTACCTCCACATACATCCAAAATGATCTTCTCCAAAAATAATAGAGCAACGAACTCACCATAAGTACCTTCAACCTCTTTGAATTTGCCTCATAAACACTCAAAGCTCATGAAGACACAAGCTCCCCTCCCCAAGAAAAAGAACACAAAAAAAAATACGCTCTAATTTGATTTAATGTGTATAAAAATCCAAAGGCTCAAATGTCCTAAAAATTACAATTACGAAAGGGGAATGAGTGGGGCGTAATTACTCGAGGGATTAAGAAGGACAGTGGGGATGGAAAATAGTCTTTTGTTTTTTCGGAAAAGGACTATATTTGTCCCTATACTATTAGATTATTAGTTATATGAACCCTCCGTTATACTATTCGACACTTTCTACCCCCATCGTTATCCATTTTAACATAT